GCCAAGGGCCTGGCGGCTCTGCGCATCAATGAGGGCGGCAACATAAACAGAGCTGATTTGATCGGTACTATCACAGAGCTTAAGGTAAGGTCCTGCCCCTGATTTCTGAACTCCTGCATTTCTGTCTAACGTGTTGGAAACTCAATTGTAATTTCAACAGGTATTTGGATCGATAAGTCAATGGTTTAACAACTGTCTAACTCTTGCCTATTTGAATTTATGACCTTTGTAACCAGCAATGCCGTCTACTACCCATACATCTCCCCTGTCTTTATCGGTAATGTTATGCTGTCTGTAATACTTGCCGCTGTGCGGCTGCTGGTGGGGCCCGAGGCATAAGGGGACGCGCGAGTCCCGTAACCGATTGGTTTGCGTTCATCCGCCACTCATACATCTATTACAAGCATGTGTTTCGTCCAGTTCGGTGGTGCAAAGACCAGCTTCTTTATGCAATTTCTTCTCGGTTAGCTGACTTCCAAAAACGCAAGTTAAGCATTTCTTTTCTACTGTAGTTTTATGTCGAGTTGTCGAACACGGGAAGTTTCCCAAACGATTATAAGAGCAGCCTTGATGAAGGCAGGTGGTTTAAAAGTGTGCCCGGCAGTGGTTTAAACTACAGGCCGAGGTAATGAGGACACTCCAGTTTTCTTGCCCCGGTCATGACAGCAGGCCCTGGTGGGAAATGGAGAGACATTGCAGTAGCTGCAGCGCAGGTCTACTCTCCCTTTAACTTAACTCATGCACGCCTTCGCTGTCAGCTGGCTGAAGCACATGGTTGGCATTTGCAAAATCGACGGTCGAATTGTCACAGTAAGAGCCAGACTTGCGCCGCATGGATCGCACTGTCCCCTCCCTAGCCCACCAGGTTCCGATAGCAAGCCAGTTTCAAGAAAAGCGGAGGTGGGCTCGGGCGCCATTTCTAACAGTGCCAGACATCCCATCTACGCGTACCACACACGACCCAGTTTCCACTTCATGTACGAAGATCTCACCTGCGTAGAAGTAAAATAAGGACCAAATTACGAAGGAACCATTGAATCCGACTCTAAGTCCTGAGAAGTACTGAGTTCCTCCGTCAGTTGTCAACCCTTTAAGCTACAATGTGCGTACTGGTAGCTTCAAACACGCGACGTCTGCTGTGTCGGCTTCATTCGCCCCTTCCCCTTTTGCATGTGCCAGTCGGTGCCTGTCGAGTGTGTGTCTTAGTCCTTACATGGTGTAGCAGACCTTGGCCGCTGTGAGGCGGATAGGAACGCGACGAAGACGCGTCTGCTATAGTTCCCGAGCCTGTCAATTAGTAGATAGTGGTGGAACTCGGTGTGTCATGATTTTGATACGCCCGTGAATCATACTAGTAGATTAATCTCACCAGCCGCTTGTACATTTCATTTCTTTTTAGTCTGCCCGGTCAAAGTTTCCTCTTCAAGATGATGCGGCGTGATACTTTCACTACATTATTACAGTACATTATCTTTTCATAAACTTGGCAGGATGTCTTGTTACTCCGATATTCCGGTCCACCATCTTGAGGTTTTAAATTAAATGTCGGTACACTTTCTGATTTGCCAATCCAACCTTCCTATTCAGCTCCTCGCCAGGCTTTCAAAGCCTGATTCTGAGTGGGCAACAGTCTTCCTACGGACCCGTATTCCCATCCTGAGTACTTATGATGCCTTGGCTGAGGACGACAACACCAACACTCCGGAGGACGATACCGCCGGCGCCGTGGTAACTCACCTACCCTACCGTATGGTAAATTACCACAATCGAGTGCATGTCTTTGACCGCCGACTACTGCCGCTGATACGACGCACCAAACCAGGTGATCGTATCTTCGTCACGGGCTTTGTCTCCTACTACAAACCCACCCTGTCTGCCAGTTCTCCGGCGGCCGCCAAGGGTCGCAAGATTGG